GACACGGCCCCAACCACACTTCTAGTCCAAGCACGCGGCAAGGAGGGGGGAGGCGTTGGGAAGCTAAAGTAAACCTAAACCCCCCTGGGACCAAACACGCCCCCCCCCCCCATTAGCTTCCTAAGTTAGGCTGAAATACCTCTGTGCGGCCGCCGCCCCCATTGCTTTGGTGACACCTTTTGTACCAGCCTTCTCCGAAGCTACCGCTTGGTGCCACTGCTTTTCTGCCTCCTTCTTCTCGTCCAGCGCAAGCTTCCGTTTCTCAATCTCCAGCTCTGCGGCACGGTCCGCGACGCCCGAACTCGCTCCCCCGCCCCCACCCTGGCCTCCGCCCCCGCACAAGACCTTCTCGACTACACCCGCGAACCGCGAGAAATTATGTTCGCGCTGCTTGGCCGCCTTCTGGTTCATCTTACCCAAGACGTGCAGAGTGTCTTGGGGGGAGAACTTTTTCGACTTCCTCCTCGATTTACTCCGGCCGCCTCCGTCGCGCGAGGAAGCGTCGGAGTCGGACTCGGAGTCGGAAGACTCGTCCCCCCCGCTCTGCCCCCCCCCGCTCTGCCCTTCACCCGCCGGTGACAGGGCAACGTCGGTGACCTGCTCTTCCTCTTCGGAGGAGCTCCCCGCCCACGAACCCTCGTCACCACCACGGTCGACATTGGCGTCCGCCCTCGCTTTTCCTTTGCCCTTCCCCGTGCCCTTCCCACCACCGCTCTCCTTCTTCTTGCCACCCCCCGCGCTCGCCTCGCCTGTAAGGTCCACCGGCGCACCGACGAGGCGGCTACCGCCGCCGCTACCGCCGTCACCGCTCCCGGTCACCTTCTGCTTCTTCTTCTCGCCCTTCTTCCTGTTCTTGCCACCCCCGGCGCTTGCGTCGCCCGTGAGGTCCACGGGCGCACCGACCCCGCTGCTTCCTCCGCCACCGCCGCCGTCACGGCTCTTGCTCTTATTCTTCTTCCTGTCCCCCCCGCCCTCGCCGTCAAGGTTCAGGGCCTTGCCGCCGCCGCTGCTGGCGATCCTCGTCCTCTTCGTTCCGCCGCCCTCGAAAGCGCCGCCTAAGTCAAAGCCCTCGTTCAGGACTTGCTTCGTGTTGACGGCCGGGTTGGCGTTCAACGCATCCATCCGGAGCGAGGTGAGGAACCTCGGTCTCTTGGCCTCCTTCCCCCCGCTCGCGCCAGTGCTTTTGCTCTCCTCCCGCCGTGCTTTCTTGTCGGCGTCGACCTGCCCTTTCCACCACTTCATCAGTGTCTTTATCCGCCGTTTGCCGAAACGCCTGCGGACCTGCGACCCGTTCATAGAGCTCATGTATGAGCTATCCTTCTCAAGCCTGGTCACGACGTGCTTGGCGATCTCGTTGTACCACACAACCACGCCGTATTGGTTGTTGAAGGAAAACCTCTTGTTCTGCTCGGGTTGACGGTAGGGCGGTAGAGAGAGGACGGGGGAGGGTGCCCTAGTCAGCTCGAGACTCTTAGAGTTACTACAAACGAATCTACCGGTTTTCCCGGAGGGTCTTCTGCTGGCCTACTATTCTGGAAAGGAGGACCGAGACTACGCCCGATGCATCGATGCATAGCTAAACTTATGCTGTCGTACGTGGGTGCTCCAGGGTGAACCTGTACTACCAAACGCCCTGAAAACTTAATACTTCGCGATCTTGCCTGACATCGAGAAGCCAGCGTTTGTGCTACATCAGCTAAAGCATTGCCCAAGTCGACCTGCTTCCTGTTTGCCAGCATGAAGCGTTGGCAACAGGCCAACCCTAGCACAAGACTAACCCTTACCAATTATATGCACCCACCATCATGAACTTCCCTCCACCCAGTTTGATGATGGTCTCGAAGATATTTTTCTTCTCGCGGAAGTCGTACAGCATTTTGCTCTGCGCGGCGTGGAGGGACGTCGGCGGGGTTTAATCATTTCAGTACGCGGGACGCAAATAGTAAAATACAACATCGAACTCCTGGTCGACCCTTCCCCAAACCTAACCCCGGAGACAAGGTTGCCAGAGTAAATTATCAACCAACGGTAAACCCATCAATCCGATGGATCGGGAGCGTGGATCCGAAGACTACTATGTGGGCACGCGAGAGGGGGGGGGGCATAGGCGGGGGTGAGACCTCGATCCCTTCGTATAATTGCGCCGCGCAGCAATGGGCACAAGAAACACATTTGTTCGAATTCAGTGTTGCTTTTATAGGCCCGACTGTAGGCTACAAAAACTCGCAACCAACGAATACCAGGCAAGGCAGACAGTACATAGCACGACGGGATAACCAGCACGTGCCCGGCAGCACCACCGGCGATGTGGAGGTGTCCCGAGTTCAACCCACTTAAGTCTCTACGTACGTCGACCGCAACCCCGACAGTCTAACTGAGAAAGCTCTACATGCAGCATGCTAAGCCTACCCCTACGTAAAAACTCGCGACTCGAGATTTGTGTCGTCGCGAGCGAGCATTCTATACTGGTGCGGCCAGAAAGCCGTTAAACCCCATATATTCAAGCGGCAGGAGAGAGATGCAACAGTGGAACACAGCGGGGGTGTGTGTAGACTTAAATTTGGATAAAAACGCCTCAATCACACGCCACATGAACGCTGACCAACATAGATGGCAGAGCACCCATAAATCGGGCAATTATTTTGTAAGACACGGAAGAACACACATCACGTAGACAACGTACGATACAACCAGCACAGCAGTATAAGGACTGCTGTAGGCCAAGGGCAGCCAAAGGCATACATCATGGGAGGCGTTGGGTGGGACTCTTGCGGCCCGTTGCCTGCTGTCGGCAGCACAAGCGAGTGACGACGCAAGTCAACCCGCGGTCCGTCTGCATCACCCTCAACCTACCGATCTTTGGAGCTTCCCGCACAGACGTATCCCCACAACAGAGAAAACGAGGCCTAGACACTGCTGTAGGCCAAGGCCGGCCAAAGGCACACATCATGGCTGGCGTCGGAAGCTATTTTTAGACCCCGAGGCCTACTTTGCTAGCAGCGTAAGCGAGGGAACATGCGAGTGCACACAAGTGAGATCTTTGTCTGCTGTCTCTCGTCTGCCGGCCGATCTTTGCTTCCACAACAGATGCACCCCAGAAACAGAAACAAGTGAGACGTACACAGCGCTGCAAGCCATGGGCGGCCAAATACGCACGTCGTGGGAGGGGTCGGGCCCAATTTTTCGAGCCTGTTGCCCTCTGCTAGTAGCGAAAGCGAAGAAAGCAAGTGCGCACCCATGCACAGCAGCAGCAGCAGCGCCGCAGCAACAGCAAGCAGCAGCAGCAGCAGCAGCAGCACTGCTTCCGCTGAGCTGATGATGATGAGAGCTAAACAGCTCTCCCATTCATCCCCTGGCTGACTGGTGGTATCGGGTGAGGTGTGAGCGTGCGCACTGGTGACCTACGTGGTGGCGTAGGCTCCATCCATATCTATCTACGCTTGCTGTGATGTCTCTCTCCGACCCTTCTTTTCGCGCTTCGCGCGAAATAATTTCATTTTTTTTGTTGGACCCCTATGTATGGGATCGGAGCCACATAGATACAATTACAAGTCTATCCCTCGCAATTCCAACCACCTACAATAGCGACAGCGTAGAACAGAAGTGCATGTAGACTACATAACCTGCAGCAAGATCGCAAAAAAATAACGGCACCTCTCAAGAATAATTCCGTCAGGTTCCAATGTTCTCCCGCTCTCACCGTGTTCTGTTTGTCGAACCCGTCCGGCACAGCACGGCTCTCGTCCTCCTCCTCCTCCTCCTCCTCCTCCTCCTCCTCCTCCTCCTCCTCCTCCTCCTCCTCGTTCGGAAACTTTG